TAGACCGAAGATTTTAAACTATTATCAGATTGACCCATGAAGTTTTTTATTTCATTTAGAAGCCCTTCGATGCAAACGTGGGGAGGGACCGAGCGACCCATGTGGTGTAATAAATGTAACAGTAATAGTATGATATAAATAAAAGTTATTATATTTGTGTGATACGGTACGGAGCGGTCCATACGGAAAAAGGTGTAGATCATTCCTTTTTTTTTGTTTTTAAATAAAAGTTTATATTTGTGATGCCTTTAAATAAATGTGGAACCTTCAAATTCAGGTACTTATATAAATTGAACACAAATATGTGTACACACATTTATTACGTTTGCGTCGGTGGAAAACAGAGGCGCTATAAATGGCGATCACGGTGTGTCTGTGTCACATAATATACATGTAAAAACACTTCTGACCCCTAAAGAGGTTTCTAAATTAAAACATACGGAATTAACATTTATGGGAAATAACTCTTTTTAAATTATTAGAGGAAATTATGGTTATGGGTGTATTTCTAAAAATTATTTAAGGAATCGTAACGTTTGACTATCTGAAACGTTATTAATATGAAAGTGAGATGGACAGAACAGAACGTCGAAGCATCCAATATAATTAAAATATCTTTCATGTTTGCAGAAAAATTATTACATTTTTTTTTTGTTAAAGTGCTTTGAAAATAACGAATGTTAATAAGAGTTTTTTTTTTGCGTTGAGAAGGAAGAAAGAGAGAGAGAAATCTTACATATCGACCAATGCAGCCACTTCTTCTGGGTTTTTAACGGCGTGTTCATTCCATGCACCGTCACTTAACCTAAGAAAAACAGAGCATTCGAAAACGGTACCGTATAAGCATCACCGGAGGATCTCGTTTGATCAAATCTGGACGGCTGAGATTTGATCAAGAAGTAAAAACTACTCACTTATCAACCGTTGATGATGAATTGCTCGAGCTGTGAGACTTTAGCTCCTCTGTTTCGTGAGCTCTGTTTACACAAAAATGTAGAGACAAAAGGTTACTTCTTCGAGACTCTCTCTCCGAAATTTGAAATCGTATTATAATAGTATTTGGAGAATCTGTGAGCTTACAATGTCGATGCATTTACACAGACAAAGAATGCTAGAATGGTTAGAGTTGCCGAGAGAGCTAAGAAACTTCTGTAGATCGCCATTGTTGGATATATTGAAAGCTCTCTCTCCTTTCTTTATAATGAAGAAGAATGTAG